GGGTGCTCTCGCACCCGAACCCTTCCTCACTTTTGCGGGTGCCCTGGTGTTCATCTCAGGAAGCCGTTCGTCTTTCCACTGTGGAAGAGCGAGACGCCTGGTTGCCACCTACCTGAAGAGCACTTGGTACCCTTGGCATTAGCCTTCAGCCGAGCGAAGGTCGATGGTGATTTTAACCTAGCAGCCTGATGCCGAAGGAAAAATGGGCATTTTAGGAATTAAAATAGTGTTGCCCAAAGGCAGCCATGGACGACATAAGTGTCCTTGTCACTGGACAGCACGCTCCCACTGGATTCCCTTAAAAAATATGGTGGGCCCTTATGGTTTCTATGAAGAATTTCAACAAAGGGCTGTTTTTAACTCCTCTAAATCTTTAGAGGGGAGCCGTGCCAATTCCTCTTGTCAGTCATGTTCGTGAGCACAGCACTTGCTAAAACAGTGTACTTGAGGTGGGTCCTGACACTCTTCCATCTCAGACACACTGCCTCTTCAAGATTTCCTTAATCTGAGTCATGACTAACAAGGCCAGCTCCTCTTCCTCTGTCCGCTCTGTCTGCTGTGGGAGCCTCTCCAGCCTCTCAGGTATCACTTGGTACCTGCCTGTTACTGGTCGCGTGTGCCTCACGGGACTTGCGTGTTTTCTCCCTCGTTAACAAGCACCGTGCCTGCCAGCGCTTGCCTGCCCGCCCGCCCGCCCGACCTCTCAAGGCTCCAGGAACTGTCTTCTCTGCTGCTGCGCTGGCCAGGCCTTGCATTCTCAATGAGAGCAGGACAGCAAAACCTCCGGGAAGAGAACAGGGATGCGGGGCTTTCTGATGGCAAAACTTGGGGGTGGGGGCGGGGTGCCCAATTCTTCAGGAATGTGTTCTTATATTTTAAAGGGTGCACTGTTTTCAAATTCTCTCTTTTTCTTTCAAAAGCTAAAGGAGACAGCTCAGTGCAGCCCACCTTGCAAAGCTCTGTCCATGCAGTAGAGACCAAGGCCCACTACATGGCCTGCCTGCACCCAGTGCCCTGGAGTGTATGGGGGGTGGTTTCATCATTGTATTTTGTTTGTTGAGAATACACATAGCAAGGTTTTGCATGTCAGCAGTTTTTTGCCCTCCAGGTAGATGGGTTTTGGGGTGAAATCCACAGGCTCTTTCCACTGCTGCCTCCTTTCCCTGTCAGCGGTAGCTGTGTCTGTCTGAAGCAGCACCCTACCAGCTGCAGCAGCTCTGCCTTGCCTTTCATGCTGATCTGCCACGACGGGAACCAATGAGAAAGAAGTGCGTTGGGGATCAGTTCCTGTCCAAGGAAGG